ATTTATTCCACAGCAAAGCTTCTTTAAGTTGAAGATGGAAACATACTGCAATTTTGTTCTATGATGCCAGTTGTTAACTTCTGAAGTTTTTATTAAAATATTTTTATTCTAAGAAGATTGCAGGTGATAAGAACATTGTTGTGAGGGAATGACACGAAACACTAGGGACAAAGTTTAAAATAGTGCTGTGTTAATATTTTTATCAGAAATTAAATTTAAAATTGATTTTCTGAATTCTATATTTCAATAGTCCGAAATAAAAAACACGAATTTGTAAATTTTTTTATTTTTATTTCAGAAACAATTTTTTCTTTTTTTAAATCATTAGTGGGGACAAGTGAGGGAATGACATATTGGTATATCTTAATTACCTAAAATAAATAATAAACAAAAATTTATAATTTTATTTTTATTCTTTTGTTAGTCTGCATTCTGAAGGACACTTTCCCTGAATTTTTTTTTTTCGTAAGCTGTAAAACAAACATAAAATATACTGGGGACATGAAAATGACTGTTTTTGTGAGAATGACCCATATATAAACTTTTGTACGCATAACTAACTATTTAACACTACTTAAACTATTCCTTAAGACTACCAAATAACTTAAGAATCCTTAAGAATGCCAAATTTAACTTAAAACTACTTGTTTAACACTGCTTAAATTATTACTTAAGAATAACTAACAAAATCAATTATAACAGGTTGTGTTTTTTGATGCGACGTAAAAGATATAGATATATGGATAATTTTATGTTATAATTATACCATTAAATAAATAAATAAAAGGATACTTTGATTAAAGAATAAATCAGCAGTGACGCAATCAAGTGCACAAATCCGAAATCTGAAACATTCTGATCCCTTCCGCCATTTAGGATAAGTTTGTTTGATAGACGCGTAAGGCGCATTATCAATATAGAATTTTATTTAACTACTACGGTGCAGAATAATCAAATATCGAGGAGCGAATTTTTAAATTTCTTCCTAAAATGCGCAAACTATTCACATTTTTACAATTTTCGCTAAGAATTTAAAATTTGATATTCTTTTTTTTTTCTTAAAAAAAATTTCTTACATTTGCAACAGTTGTTTTTAATCCTTTGTTATTTTAAATACAAATGCTGAAAATTCTTCTTCTTAAATACTTGAATTCGGCTAGTAAGAACCATAAAAACAAAAATTAACTTCTACATGGCAAACATTACCTTGTTGTAATAAAATTTACCAGCCATTACTATCCAAACATAGCCTCTGAAAACTTCTAAAATGTTTATCTGTGAACAAACTAAATTGCAAATTTTAAGTATTTCTATAATGTTTAAATTTTATAAGAAGAACATCTGAAGCATTAATTTCTTCGACTAAACGGTAAAAAAACTCGAACTTTATTGTGTAATTTTTGATTTAATTCGTAAATAGGACATTTTTCATTTTAAGCCTGAATATTGCTTTTTTTTACAATCAAAATAAACTTACTTACCGTAATTCAGGATCTACTACAGTCATTTCATCTTTCGGATCTCCCATTTTTGCAGTTCCAGCATAATGATAGTAAGTGATAGGTGTCGAGACCACTTGGCAAGTGTAATAAGCAGTTTCATTTTTGGCATATTTTTCACATCCAGGATAAAGTGTATCAAAACGCTCCACTCCAATCCTTTTCATTGGCTCAGTTTCAGCCACTCGTCTGCATGCTTTTAATGCTACAATTAAACGAACATTTCAAAAACACATACAATTTAAATAATAAAAAAATTAACTCCCTTTCATACTAATTAAACGATTATTTCAGAAACATATACAATTTCTAATAAAAAAAATTATAATTCCCATCTAGTTTTGAGCACTTAAATTTCTTTGCCTTCAGCTCAAAAATAAAATTTAAGGATATTTTAAATTATAAATATATTTTATGTGTTTAAGTAAAAGAAAATCTTATCTATCTGTAAAATTGCTAAATTTGGAGTAAAAACATTGATCATTACGCAATCTATACATCAGCATCTATTGGGTAGGCTATGATTTCGGTGCTTTAGTGTGAAATAAAATTCAATTTTTCTAAACAAGAAATGAACATTAATCAGTGAAATATCGTCCTCTCTGTTAGATGACTTTTTGTTACTTTTCTAATAACTTTATAATCCCGCCCTCATAGAACGTTTGGTCTGCATCAACAAAAAGCGCAAGCAAGTGCTATTTGAGATCAGCAGTAAGATTTGCACTTATTATTAAAGCTTTTGACATTTATTTACTTTTGCCTTATTACTAATGACAAAATAAATCACAATCATTTCCTATCCGCTGCAAACCAAATTTATCATCAAATATCGTTAATGAAACGTCTACCACTTGCCGATTAATTAGGGTGCTCATATATCATTTGAGACTTTGTGCCTGATGATATTACAGATTTCAGCTCTTTTTTCTGACCGCGACAAGTTGTATTTATCGTCAATCAAAATTTCGGTCACTTTCCTGACTGCTAGAGGGCTCAAATTTTAACTGGAGCTCTGTGCCTGATCACAACTTGCGAATAAGATTTATCGCTATTTTATGGCCAATGAAATTTCGTCCATTTTTTGCTAACAGACACAAAACTAAAAGGAACTTAATAAAAAATCGAAAAAAAAGAGTTTTTCAAAAGTACTAAAAAGGAAAAAATAGTTCTATTTGTGTCCCACCTAAAACGATGAAAACGTGCGGCGCATCGTTAAAAACTTCTGTTACCGCTGAAAATTCCAAATACATCTCTCATCAGTAGTGATGTATCTTACGTTTTTCGTCTTAAATGGGAGAAACATAAATGTTTTCTTCCTTTTAATCCTCCTTAAAAACGTAAATTTAAATTTTTTTTCATTTTGTTATTTAAATATTATAGAATGACCAAAACCGTTATTTATCAAATCACTTTTCTTCCAAGACAATTTTTAGGTTTATACGATAGATATTCAAATTTTAATCGAAAAGATTGTGTTAAAAAACACTTTATTTCAATGAACACAAAATAAAACATTAGCATACACTTTTAAAAGAGTAGTAATTATATGAATATTGTGTTTATGCACATTAGTTAACCAAGCTTTCGTGCATTTCCACCATTCGGAAATTATTGTTACTTGCAAAAATGCTAATTTTCGCATACTTCGAATATAGCCGGATATGGTAGATTTTAAAAATCGATTACGAGATGGCATAAATTTGTTATTTTCTACGCTGTTAAATATCCCCCCCAAAAAAATTCGCCGCTTTAAAATATATGTATGGTTTTAGTTGTGTAATAAGATTAACTATATTTTAACTTTCAAATATCAACCAATTGTATTAAATATTTTTATAACATTGAATTTATATTCACTTCCGAAGCCTAGTTAGAATTTACCGTAATATTCTCTCTGTGCTGGTTGTATGTTTGATTCACAAACTAAATTTGAGAATCAGTGTATATATATATGGATTCGAAATTATACTGATTCTTACTTTATATTTTATTGCAAAAATTCTGATTTTTTTCTGATTCTTATGTGTATCACATCATAACTCTTTTATGCATTTGGGACGACGGTGTCCCTTTTGTATATTTCTTCTGACGTACAGGCAAAAATATATTTTGATATTTTTTAATTATAAAAAAAAAACAATCTAATTGTCACTAAAAATATTTTTAAGATAATTGAAATTATATCTGTACTAAAATATAAAATCCAAAAAAATAGACTTTTTTCATTCATATTTAAAAATTTATAATTTTTTTTTGTAGTATGCCTGTTCATGCAGTGGGGGTTCGATTGTTCCTGTTTTTTAGTGGCGCCATCTATGGCCAGGAATTCTACTTCTGCCAAGCAATTCACACAACTACCACCCGTTTATAGGGCGAGTCACATTCACACACAAAGGAGAAAGGACATAATACACACAGAGAGAGAAAGAAACATCCATGCCTTGCCCGGGATTCGAACCCAGGACCATTCTGATGCAAGGACAGTTCCCTGCCCCCTACACAGGCCAGTCGGAAAATTTATCATTGATTTTGTAATATAAAATAATATCAATGATAAATTGCTGTTTCTCGTAAATCTGAATAATTGCAAAGTTAAAAAATCATTTTTTTACCTTTAACATAAAAAAGAACATGAATGAGCAATTTTATGGTGTATTTCAGAGGCATAAATTGTCAAAATTCTAAGAAATTCTAAATTCTAAGAATAACACTTTTCCCTTATTTTGACCTACACCAATACAAAATAAAGAAAAAAGTAGAAAAAATATGTTTAATAAAATTTCTATGTTAAATTAAAAAGGGCTAATGCAATTATAAATTTTAGTGTTATTGAATACATAAAATGATGGGCTATTTACTTCAAGTAAAGGATTATTCTTGGTATTTTACAATACTTAAGAACTATCCTTGGTTCTTGCTGTTGTGAAGCACCCAGATCTAAGAGATAAATATTGTACAGTGAAACCTCTCGGGAGCGACCACTCTCTGTTTCACAGTAAAATGGTCGTTAATGGAGGTTGGTCATTCTTAGAGGTTATCTCCACTAACTCAAAAATGTTATCGAAGGTACATGATTCTTCGCAATCAATTTTAATTTTACTGAGGGTCATTTTCTTGGTGTCTAAATGCCAGTTGTGTTAGCGTCATGAAAACCTGATAGATGAATAAAATTTAGCTTCAATAAAAATGAGTTCTAGTGATATAATTATGTGTCAAACCAAATTTACCAATTATGAATGACAAAACTATTTTAAATAAATAAACAATTATGTTTTTTTGTTTTAGTTTCCATTTGATTTTATATGATAAAAATTAGTTTACTTTAAAAAAGGAGAGATTTGTTTGTTTGAAATGATAAGTTTTTTTCTGAAAAAAACTTATTTTTTTCAATTTTATCTTTAGAACTAAATTATTGATTACATAGTCTTTAGTGCATTTTGACTGTAAAATGAGGTTGTCAATCTCTTTCAGAGATCGCCAAAAAAAGAGCTCTCTACATAAGAGTCAGTCACAAATATTTTGAACACATTTAAATCTACTTATTTTCAATCTATCTATTACTTTATTTCCTTACTTTATTACTATTAATCTATCTATTATTATATTTTTATCTATTTATTACTTCAATATTTTTAATTTTGATAGTTTTTCTTGTTTATTTTTCCTTTACCGCATTTGCTGCGGAGGTTTGCCGAGTCATTAGGAGAGGTTTTGATTGTCTCTCTTAAAGGTTTTCTTCGACACAAAGTCTATGGAAAAAATTCCGTATCTCCCAAAAGTGGTCGTAATTAGAGGAGATCACTACAAAGAGGTGATTTTTCCTGGTGGTTTCACTCCATTTCGCTACACAACTTTCGTGTAAAATAGTTACAACCATTTCTGGTGAGAAGTTACTCTAAAATGTTTTACAGTGTAAATAAAAGATGTAGTTATACCAGCAACTATGTCTTGCACATCTTCTGGATCTTCAAAGTAGTTGGGATCTACTAGCGGAGGATCATCTGGATTAGCCGATTTCAGCATTATTGTTCCACGACTTCTTGGATGAAGAAGATGGCATAGGCAACCCAGATAAGGAGAAAGGGTATACTTCAAATATATTTGAGCAAATGCCTGAAGTAAATGCAATATTAGCACACGGTGATGCATAAAAACCATGGGAAATATACCTTTATAGTTCATTTCGACAAAGAGGGGAAGAAATACAAATTAAGAGTCTAATATTAATATTTAAGCTAAGAAAGAGGAAGGTGAATCTAAAAACATCGAAACCTATTTGATTACCTGACAAAGCAGAGAGGGATTCAAAGAGAGGTATAAGAAAAATCTCAACAAGTTATTTCAGCAAGCAATCAAGCTGATTTGTTTTTACCCGCGTAAATATTAACGCTTCCGACCCTTAATATTTGTATTTTTAAAAAAATACTATAAGTATAGACTGATATGTAGATTGACCCAGATGAACGCGCTGCAACTAACACAGGTGTGCAACAAATCCGTTCAATGCGAAGCGGAAGGCAGAGCTTATATAAAACAAATGTCTAACAAATTTGTTAGATTGGTTCCTTCTGCCACAATGGCAGTTTGTAAAGTTTTTAGAAAGCTTGAACTTGGTGTTAGAGTCGCCACGAGAGATGGGACATAACTAAGGTGACCAGACGTCCATCAGATTTTGAGGACAGTTCTTGAATTTCAATAACTATCCTAAAATACCTTCAAACTCATTAAAGACAGAAAATGTTCTCAAATATTTTCTCAAATTGTCCGTAAATAAATCTCATCGCTTTTTATATCCATTGAAGTATCAAAAGGATGTGCGCATGCTAATGCAAAAGTAAGAGAATCTGCTTCTGTTGCGTCTTTTACTTACCGCTGGCCGTCTCTCTGTTTGGCCTACCTTAATATTTAAAATCTATTAACAGGCTTTTTAATACACAACATTCTTAAATCTGTGGACTTACCTCCAGTTTCATATTGAAATCTAATAAAGGTAGAATATTGTTCAATTCCACGAAATACAGTTGAAAGTCAGGAACCTTTTCGCGGCTATCAGAACTGTCATTGTTTTGGAGATAAGCAAGAGCAAGTACTAGCTGCGCTGCCGAAAAAGGTCCTAAAATATATGGATAGTTATATAAAATGTTTTTATGTTACAGTAAATGTATGAAATCCAGCAATCTTCCAGTAGTCATTGTATAGAAAGCCTAAGTTCGACTAGAGAAGTGTGTAATGAAAAATTCGATAGTTGAAAACATACTTATCTACACTGACACTGTGAATTAATCGACAACAGCACGCCAATATAGTAGTTTCTTCTTCTTGACTAATAAAGTGTAATTCAGAATTTGCCCACTAAAAAAAAACGGAACTACTTTCGATACAATCGAGATATCCGGTCTCACCTCTTTAGCTGATTTAACCCCACTCTCCCCTATTAATTAAATATGTTGTTGTTTTGTTCGATTATTCCAATTCTGTTGATAGTTAGAGCAAGTAAGGAGATTTACTTGGTGAGGGTTTGTTTTCCTTTCATAACAACGTCTTCTCGTGTCTCGCTGCTCGAAGATTAGCGGAGTACATGGTCGTAAAATCTGTGGAATCAAAAGTTTTGTAGTCGGTCACTTAGCAGTACCATGGGTATTGCTAAGCTACTGGTCTCTAAAATAGTGGCAGCAGTTAGGAGAATTCCTTCCCTTTCAGATTTATGTTTAAATTGAGGAAGTGGCCTCAGATATGAGATCCCTTCTACGGAGGATAAAAATTGTGATGACATATCTTCGAGTTATCCTCAGTGATGAAGACTGTCGTCAATAGCACATTGTGCAGCTCTAGTGTGATGTAAATAAAGTATTACCTATACCTTCAATTAATTCTTTTGATAGATGGCAAAAGTGAGTAATTACATTTCGGTTGGTTCTACAGTAGTTTGTCCCGCAGTGGACTGATCGTTAAGACACGGTTCCCAGCAGATCACCGAAGTCAAGCATCATTGGCTGCTGTCAGTGTGCGGGTGGGTGACCACTTGGATCAGTCTGCGTAGGGACCGATGGTGTGCGGTATGGGTCCTCGTTAAACTGTTCTACCGTAAAGTGCTCGACTTCGTGCGCAGGTCGCCGGGCTACCGAAGCGGGGGTGTCATCCCCTCTGCAGAGGATCAAAATTGTGATGGCATGTCTTCGGATCCTTCTCAGGGATGCTTCCCAGACCGTCGCCAATAGCCCATTGTACAGCTCTAGTGCGACGTAAATAAAGTACAACAACAATCTACAGTAGTTTATTATTTCGATCTGGCGATGAAAATTTTTCTTCAGTTCCTTTCAACTGTCAACACTAATTTAAAAATGCTGATTTAACACTGATTGTTAATTAAGTTTTAAAAATACTTTTTTGTGAATTTATTGAGATTTTTTATTGTATACTATCTCATTTTTGGTTTAGAAATTGTTTTACTTTTCATTTATCGAATGTGATTTTATTTCTTCTATATTTTATGTATTATTTCCAAATGGAACTTCGGGACACAAGTAACACTTTCGCTTTGATAAACAGTTATTCACAATAAAGCTCCAGCATGAATGAATGCAATGAAGAAGTACTTTAATGCAATAATGTTTCTTTTGTTATATTTTAATTTACTTTTCCATTTCAGTTGAATTATAATTCTCTAACTCTTTATAAATACATTGATGCGATATAGTTATTGAGTGCGAAACAAAGATATTTGACTCATATGTACCTGAACGATTGTTAACGTAATCTCCTATGGTGGATGGTTCGGCTAACTTAATAGCCACATTTACAGAGGCATTCATCACAAAATTCTCAAGAGATCCAACGTGGTCTTGCAAATTTTGACCCACTCCTTTCAAATCAGAAACAACAGTAATCTAAAAGGAAAAATAAAATCTGGAATTATGAAGAATGAAATTTTGATATATAACTCTAAATAAAAGTTAAATTTACATCACAGTAGAACTAGTATAAAGTAGGAATTAGAAAGTTGGAATTTTTTTTCGCTTCATGCACCAGCTGAGGATAAAGCAGCAGTAAAGATAGCTCAAAATGATCGAATTCCAGTTATGAAAAAAAAAACTACTTAGTGGCCAACTATTGAAAGAGGGTAATGGGAAGAGGAACCTAATGTCTCTAGACAAATGACGAGACGAAAGGACTAATAGTTTCAAATTTATAATAGTTTTATTTGCAAAAACTCTAAGTATGATTTAACTCCATTTACAAATCTGACATTGCCATCCAGTTAAATAAAGTTTTTTCTCTCCATTTTCTGTTATACTGAATCAAATGTGTCCAAATGTGAGTCAATAGGACTAAAAGTTTAAAAATGTGCAATGATTTTACGTGGTATTTTAGATTTGTATTTACGACACTTTTGACCTATTTACCGCTTAGATTTGTAACATATTGTCTTCTGTGTATTCTTTCATCTGGCAAGGAATAAGACTTAATTTGGAACGATAGGATTAATAGTTTGAAAGTTAAAGGAATTTTATGTTAAAAAAATACAATACTTTGTAACCATTGCTCTCTAAGTATTATTTGCTAAGCATTTGCTTTTGTGAAATCAAATTGAGGCCACCTACAGGGCAATGGAACAAAGGGTTTTTATATCTAAACAGTATTTTCTTATCTTGAACTTATTTACATTTATCTTCCCTTAACTATTTATCTTATCAACTTGAATTTTATTTCGTTCGATTTATCATAAAAAAATAAGAAGCAATTTCAAAAAATATTAACAAGACAAAAAATTGTTCTTATTAGACGAAAACTAGCAATTTCTAAGTTATTCATTCCATTGACTTTGTGTTTGGTCTCTTTCGATTCAGCTTAAAAATATACACAGGAAACATTACTTCACTTATCTAAATAGCAATGCCAGATGCGTAAATAAGTACAAGTCAAGCACAGTACTTTCTGCACATACTTTTAAACAATTAGTCCTAACTCCTCGTACTATGTCTCATTCTATTCAGAGTATAGTTTGTCTAAGCTAAGAACTCCTCCCGCCACAAAGTCTGAGGCCGCCTGGTGCTATGGAAACAAGAATGGAGCATTTTAAGGAGGTGTGGGGCGAGTAGTTATCAACAATGTCAACCTTCATCTATGAAAAGGTACCCCGACATAGAGTCGAGTTAACATGTCTTATATATTAGTGAATTGTAATTTTGTAGTGGTAGATACGCTACAGTACTCCCCCACCAGAATTATATCTGTGATAGAATTCGATGAATGGATACCACTAGTTGAATCATTGCTGTTTTTTGTGCGAAGCCGGGAGAGTTGTATTAAGATCACCGTACTTTTTGTGTGCTGAATGTGAGAGGTGTATTAACGTCACGGTCGTAGTCGGAGTGTTGCCTTTAGCAGTCAAGTGTATGCGTTGTACGTTGTGTGTGATTGAAACTGAGCAGCAACAGCGCTAGGAGGTGGATGATGTTGCAGTCACAAGTACCAAGTCAACTATTCAATGTGGATCATCCATCGAAGTAGGCGTTACTGTCAAGGTAGGCGTGTTCATATCGAAGTGGGTGTTACTGCCAAGGTAGGCGTGTTCACATCACGTCCGAAGGTCACCAATGTGGGGCGAATAGTTATCGACAATGTCAACCTTCATCTATCAAAAGGTACCCCGACATAGAGTCGAGTTAACATGTCTTATATACTAGTGAATTTTATTTTATTTTATAACCGTCGTTGAACAGCCGACCCAATTTCATGGGTTTACGACTACTAATGTTCAACTCCGTAGCCTTGTAATTTTGACCCAATCCAGAAGACAAGGAAAGCCCTGGATCAGTACCCCCAGAGGTATTGATTTGTTATGGGAACATGGAGGACTTTGAGACTCGACAGATTTAACGTGCATCAGTCACCATTTACTACACGGGGAGTCTTCGGCCGGCGAGGAAATTTAACCCTCGACCTCTTGGATATGGGCCCAGCGCCCTACCGACCAGGCTATCCCGGCCCTTATACTAGTGAATTGTAATTTTTGTAGTGGTAGATACGCTACAGTGGGTAGCTTCACTCTAGAACTAACACAATAGACCGAAGAGATTCCCTTTCTCTCGCCGACTCGATCCGAAACCACTTCAAAACAGGGACCTCGCCCCTCTACTTGAAATAGTCATACCTCGTTACCATAGTAACCGCCACAGGTCCATTTGAATGTCTGGAGGAGTTCTTATTTTAGACAAACTATATTTCAATCGACATCCTAGCTTAAATATGTGTTCATTTGCAAAACATTTTTGCGCAGAGTTACAACCTTACATTAAGGGATCCAAACGTTCGACTGTTCTTCTGACCAAACTATTGGGATCATATTTTCTAAATTGAGGCTACCCCGCATAATTTAAAGCTCAAGAATTCGAATCCGTTGGGAGGGGGAAGGGTATGAGTACGTTTCTGTGTCTGATTTCGAAACATAAAACGTCGTCTGCACTAAATAATGAGCATTCTTAAAGCCAGTCCCTCGAACCATTAAGATTGAGTACTGGTAAGTGAAAATCCGATTATTATATCAGAAGTTATTCAGAGTGTTTAACTTTTTATTTTACTACTAATATTGAATATTATAAGAAACTATTTTAATAACAACTTGTTTAAAATATCTTACAACATTTTCATTAAGAAATAAAATACTAATAATTTACTTACATTATGTTCTTTTAGGTGATCAGCTGGTCCAATTCCTGATAGCATCAATATCTTTGGTGTGTTGACTGTTCCAGCAGATAATATAACTTCCTTTCTGGCAGACACTGTTCTAATGGAACCTTTATACTTGAACTCAACACCAGTAGCCACTTTATTTTTAATTATTATCTGAAATGTCATAAAGATTCGATACTTTTGTCTTAATATTTTTATCAGTGCTGCTGTAACAGATGAAACTTGAGTAATACAAATTAAGGGCAATGATTATTTTTAAATATTGCAAGTGTATATATGTGTTTTGACAAGATTTCATTTTTATTGTGAAGTAAATTCATGCGTATTATTGAATGGTTTTTATTTTAGTTTGTTATAAAAATATAAAGGTTCACTTTTGATTTTTAAATTGACTTAAGAATCCAATATTTAATCTATAAACATGATAGACTAAAATATACTTTCCAAAATAATATTCTCTAAAATCTAAAACCTAATATTTATGCAGAGCTGTAAACATTTTTAGTGCATCTTAACACCAAACATTTTGGAGCTAATTTACACCTATGTGGTGAAAATCAAACAATATAGATAACTCTTGATCCTTGGTGCTTCACTACAACAAATGTAGTAAAACACCAAGAATAATCTTTTATACTTCTTGATGTAAAGTAGCTGCCACCATTTTTGTTATTCAATAACACTAAAATTTATAATAACAGTATGATAAAAAACACTAAAGAGTCAGTAAAGCTATTTTTAATATAGCGTGGGAAATAACTTTCGATTAAGTCAGCCTCTATTTATTAAAAGGTACCCCAAGATTAAATCGAGTTAGCATGTGTTATATACTAGCGAATTGTTGTTTAATAATAGTGGTGGTAGTTACGCCACAATTCTCACCCACCTTCAAACCTCTCGTTGACGTATTTGCGAAAGACCGGGAGAGCTGTATTAAGTTATCCGGATTTTGAGAGTTTGAGGTGAGAACTGTATTAAGTTCACCGTGTTTTGAGCATTTCTTGCGAGAGCTGTATTAAGCTCATTGTTTTGTGTATAATCTCTCCTATGTAGCTATTACCTGTTAAGTGTGTGCAGGATCCCGTTGTGTGTAAATGAGACTGAGAGGCAACAACGCGATGTCAACTACACAGTTACAAATAGCAAGTCAATTGTGCAATGTGGACCATTCTTCGAAGTAAGCGTGTTTTAATCGAAGTGGACGTAACTGCCATGACACGAGAGGTCAAATCATGTCCGCAAATCACCAATGTGGAAAAGAACCTTCCGGAATAGAAATTCATTTATCAAAAGTACCCAAAAATTAAATTTAGTTAGCATGTCTTACATACTAATGAATTGATGTTTAATAATCGTATGTGGTTGTTACGCCACAATACAGTTTAAAGTAAAGAACAATTGATTTCGGATGCATACAACGTTGAACGTTAGTAGTCGTAAACCCAAAATTAGGTCAGATGTTCAACGACGGTTATGAAATAAAATAATTATAAACTCAAATTTACTACTATATTGTAACTTACTTATGCTATAAATAATTTAAATGCACTTTATAAATAAACAACGAATAAATTTGATTTAAAGTTACGACCAGGGCCTCCTGACATTTTTGAGCCTAGGACCCCGCATTTCTAGATCTGGCCCTGCGTGAATGAGCATAAGCTTGGTATAAGGTTTCCGGATTACAAGTGTATAGATTTAAATTATACTCTTTATGATATGAAAGCTCGGTTTGATGTTAACTTGAAATAAAGGGTTTCGTAATAATTTTTTTCGGGTTGTTCAAATTTATGATAATACCCCACAATTTTATAGGTTAAAGGAAACCAATTTAAATGTTTATTTTAATCAAAAATAACATAGGTTATTATATTTGTATAATCAAAAATAATAACCTTTTTAAGTTCGCTTACTATTAAATTCTCCATCGACACATTAAATTAAATAAAATAAACAAAAAGTAATAAACTAAATCTAAAACTTTGAAAATTACTTTTCGAACGTATGCTTCGGGTATTATATCCAAATTCTCACGAAAATCTACCGGAACTAAATAGCCTTTAGCAGCGCTGCAAAGTTGACCATCTCTTTCCGTCCCCTGCAAGTCATAAAATCCTAAAAAAAATAACATTAATTTTTGTATCATTACATTGATTAATATCTTTAAAACTTATTTCTTTTACAAATTAAACACACGCAATATTTAGATTGGTAGAAACAGAATTGAATTCTATGAGAATTTTACACCGTAGAAATATAGTAATAATTGTAAAATGTTGAAGAGGCTAAATTACCTATTTGATGAGCACCGTTGGCATCTATAATAGGTATATCTAAACTTTTAGCAGCTTCAAAAATATTCTTTTTGAAACTAGGATTATAACGAGGCTTTGAAATAGTTTGAGGTCCTCCAATGCCATGATACCCTATTAAAAAAATTGATTATGCATAACTAAACTGATATACTAAAAATATTGTTCACCAATAGAAACAATAAACAATAATAAACACATTCCATAATATAAAACTCTAGTAATAATGGTTTGGATTTTTCAGTTTAAAAATATAGTGTATAGGGATAGTAGTATAAATCTTGTATAAGAATAAAGTTTCGGTAAATAAAGTAACACGTTCAATTCCTTTTACTCATACCATCAGCATAATATTCAGGATCCCTGTTGTCTTCTAATTTTATGAAGTATTCATAAACTTCCTTGTAATTCCAACCCTTTGCTCCCATAGATTCCCAATCGTCATAATTCTGTGGATTGCCTCTACTGAACTGTACATCATTCAGAACACTGGAACCTCCAACAACTTTGCCACTTGCATACTTCACTTTCTGTATCAAAATACATTTCTTATTAGAACATTTTTTGACATTCAAAAGCGAAAATTGGAGCAGTTTTTAATGCATTGAAAGATATCTCCGTATTGCTAGGACCAGAGGTATTTCGCGCGGTATCATACATTATAAAACTACTAAAACGTCTATTGAGTAGGAATTAAAAGTTTAAATCCACTATAATAGACCATATCTTTCGCGGTATTACTAGGCCCAGATGTATTTCAAGATGTATCATACATTACAGAACTAGTAAAACGTATGTTGAGTAGCAATTAGAAGTTTAAATCCACTATTACTATACTATAGAGCTACATTTATTTCGAGGCTACCACACATTACAGAACTACTGAAAGTCTCTTGTTGGAATTAAAAGTTTAAATTTCAAATGATAACTAGGATAGAGTTTATGTTAATTTTAATAAAGTAGTTAGTTCATTCTAATGATTAATTTCCATCAAATGGAGCGTACAATCGGAATTTGTTTCATTTCCGAATTTCTTTTGAGGTGTCTCTTTGGTGGTCAATCAGTATCCACGGAGGGGAGTGACTAAGCCATCGTCTGGTATATACTTTTCCGGTTATACCTACATTGTTGTTTTTTTTTAAAGAAATTGCAATTACTTGGTATTTTCTACACTGGTAATTTTTCTAATTTATCCTATTCGGTTATTGTTATAATAATAAACATCGAATATTATTATACTAATATCTATAATAATAATATATATACTTGTGAAAGGGAAATTTGTGTTTTATAAAAAAATTGATTAGTTGAAACATTTTTCTTTATTCCTCAGCATATACATTTAAACAAAAGCCTGGCTTTAAGCCAATTTTTGTAATCTCAAAATACCTGCCTAAAGCAGGATAAATCAATTTTCCTTTTTCACCCTTACTGCCTAAAGAGGGGAGATTTTCATTTAACCCAGAAATGGGAGCTCCTTATATGGCACTGCATCGTCTAGTTTATCCTATCAAATCCATCAAAATTTCGATGGCTAGACTCCTCTGCTTTGGTAGCCCGACGACTTGCGCGTGAAGTCCAGCACTTTGCGGTAGAACAATTTAACGAGGACCGATTACGCGCACCCTCGGTCCATGCGCAGACTGATCAAAGTGGCCACCCACCCGCTTACTGACCGCAGCCAGTGATGCTTGACTTCGGTGTTCCACTGGTAACAGTGTCTTTATGATCAATCCATTGCGGGACCACTGTATTCAGGAAATCTAATATTTGAACTGCAATGGGGAAACCAAGCATATTGGAGTGAAGCTGGAAAACGGAAGTGTGTTAAACGAATATTTTCGTTCTTGGACCCCAATCTGTTTCAAGCTATTTAAACATGACTTAGACAAAAAAAATACAATATTACATATTGAATATATTTAAAAAAAAAACCATTTGAAAAAGATAAATGTTGAGATACAAAACAACAATGAAACAAACCAAGTTTTCATTTACCCGGCCATTAAGATTGCTCCCAGATCTGTTTTGTGCAACAGATTCAAAATCCCAATCAATGCTGGTATGAACAAAAAATCTTTCAACCGCAGGGATTTCTGTCAAAATTGGAGGTGTCGAGCCAGCTTCTAGTAGCAGCACGCTCACACACGGATTTGTAGAAAGTCGATTAGCTAGTACTGATCCTGCTGATCCGGCTCCAACTGAAAACAACAAAGCAGGATACACGCATTCTTAGATTATAAAAGTTGCTGTTGTGGTAGTGTCGCATGTAACAAACATCAAACCCTGTCAATCCCGCGCTAACACTTTTAGCGAAATGGAATCTATATACAGGGGGATTCAGTTCGGCGGCTAAAGATTTCGAGTGAAAGGTACGGCCCATGGTAAGGATTGAGAATCGCTACCTATGGTTAGAAATGTCATCGCTAGAGGCATAACCCTATTATGGACTGGCTGTTCGTACGCATTCGAACTAGTTCTTTATTTATAAAAAAGTTATTCAAATTTTGCTCTATATTTATGTTTTCTAATAATTACTGTCGAAAATTGCATTCAGATATCGTATTTTACTGACTTAGAAACTAAATTACCGCGATTTTAAAGTTAGTCGAAAAACAATGGGCTATAATTAAACAGCTAAATCGGGGCTTATTTGAATGCACTTTCTATAATGATTGTTAGAAAGCATGACATTAAGACAATTAACAGAAGCAAATGCGCCTGAGCAGCCAGCTCATAATATGCGGCGTTTGATGACACGGATTTCTCTGCGATTCTCGATCTCTATCTTGTTGCAGCACTCTGTATGACATAAAATCAAAACTGATTTCTCTTTTTTTAAACCACAAAAAAGTAAAAGAAAGACTTTGATTTTAATTTTAAATATTTTCAAGAGATGTCTATCTTATTGTTAAAGCTCTCTGTGTAATGATTGTTAGTAATAATTTGAAATTTGTCCGGCAGCCATTAAATGACGCAAACCAACCTTAGTATGAGTAAGGGACATTTCAGCATTGTAGGTAGTAGAAATATTAAAACTATCTCTATCTTTGTCAAAAGATAACATAGAAAACTCATAACAAGCTCCATTAGGTGCTGTATTACTTAACCATGCACCTCTTGAGCCATACATAACTACTACATAATTATTCCATATGAGATTAATAATAATTAATAATAAATTAAGCTTTTATAATGTATTAAAGTTGAAAGTTCTCTAAATAAAATAAAAAAGAGACTATTTTCATAAAAACTCGTGCTTAACTAAACGGTTTGTCCATTGATTTCGGGAGTAGGGCATACGCGCCATTTCATTTTTTAAATAAAATATTATTTTTCAGGCATGAAACATTATCTTGTGTCATAATGCCTGTAGTTTAAGCATGTTTCAATAAAAATAATATTCTGTTTTATAAAACTTCTAGGCTTAGCTTTAAATTATTATTTGCCCTAAAGTTTTCTTTTTTTTCCTTTCATTGAAAAATGTCTCAATTTAACATCTTAGAATAGTTGTTGCATTTTTTGTTCTCTTTGTCATGCAATGTTTCTCAATTCATATGGAAATATAAAAACACAGCAGTTGAGTCATTAGAACTGTTGAATAAATATTGAATTCTTAAAATTTAACCTTCATTTTCGATTTTAAGGTTTATATTAAGTCTCTTATTATTGAGAGAAAATTTCCATTGTTATCTATGGTACGTGAGATAATTTGAAATTTTTTAGTTGTCATGCAATTATTTTAACGGCTTTGAAAAATGCCTGAGCCATGAATCGACAATTCTCTCTCTAACACCATGAAATTTATAATCACGTAGCTTCACATTCAGGCCTTTAGTAAAAACCTTTAAACTCGGAAGATTATCGAATTTTTAAAGAGCCTTATATAATCAAAAGTATTAAAATTACAGGAATGAACTGGGCTGCTCATATTGCTAGAGAGAATGAAGAAGATCCAGTTAAGAAAATTTTTGTGGCAAAGGCTTTCACGAAGACCAAAAAGTGACTTAAATTCTGAAGAATCAGATTCTAAAGTGATTGGGATAAAAGACTGGTAGCAAAAACGTTTCTCTTTCCTACATATTGCGTACCTACTGAAGTCTGGAGTGATCATCGTTATTTCTGAACAGCTTTATATTACACGAATGTTTATATTATATGAATGTGGTGTCTAAAGTCTAGGTATAGTAAATTGACTATGCTCTTCTGGGCAAAATTTATACAGCGCCACCTGGCGTAATACAAAGGAAGTAAAATTTTTATCTCGAAAGTGATACGAGATAGGAAAAAAAGTTTATTCCAAAGTTGCAGAAGCATCATTGATTAAGCATGCGTAGACACCTTGTAATGTCAATGATGAGAAAATAAACACTTAAACGAGCATTTTTTAGTTTGAAATTTTCTATTGTGTGAAGCGAAAAAACACTCTAAAAAAAGAAAAACAACTAATCAGCACCAAATAAGCCAATTTTTAATGCTTAAATTTCTCATATTCTTTAAACTATTACGAATTCGTAAATATGTGTATAATATAGTGCATACACTTTTCTTATGAGGCTAAATGTGTATGACGGACCCTAAAAAATTAACTAGAAAATTTCCCTGAAAGTTGTGTAATTTAAACATAATTTAGAGAGGAAATAACATCAAATGAACGTTCTGGAAACTTCGAGTTTCAAAGCGATAGGATTAACATATGAGAGAAGAATCGTGTCGAAGTTCTGGAGTTTCGACACCAAGCCTCTATAAATAATGTGCCTCGCACGGTAATAGTTGTCTGCTTCAGATTGCAGTAGTGTTTTGACCTGAATTGACCCTTCTAAAACCTGTGTTTTTGCTATATTATGCTGTTAATTGAACACTATAATTAAAAGTATTTTTTGGAAGTATCTGATAATAAAGTTTGGAATCTTAAAAGACTATTTTATTCGTCTCTAACCGGAACGAACCCCTTTGATCGGTTCAATGCACACTGGCCGATTAATCAGAGACTTGGGAAATTATCTCCGGCCTTTTTTGCATTTCACAGGGTCCAGTAGCAGTGATGTGAGACATGTTCTACTGATATGGTGCCTTAGTGTTTCTGGTGGGCAAACAAAAAGCCATGCAACACCTGTCCATATTAGAAAATCAAGTTTTTCCTGCACTGTTATATTTTTACTCTTAAGGTGACGTATCCATCACGGACGATAATGCAACAGTACATCATGCCAGAAGCTCACAGAACACTCTGGTTCGATAAACATAATCTGACTTCCAACACCTCACTTGGTCATCACAAGATCCGGATCTATACCTAATAAGAAAAGGTTTAGGACATGTTGGAAAACAGCATGGTCAAAAGGTTAACGGTCTTACTACATAACACGTTTTATCGCTAAACTTGACGATTTTTCTAAAGTATTTATGTTAAATATATGTACTTTATTAGAATACAACACTTTTACTAACTAATAGGCAAATATAAGCCATTATTCACACCTTAAATTTATCCTGGTTCACTAGAAGCTACATTTTTTTATAGGTTCTTCAGATAGATGAGAAGTAAATTTATGCATTACAATGCATAAAATTCCGAATCGAATTACTGTATACGGTACCGACACCTTGGGTGCATTATCCGTAAAATCCATTTTTACTATATAAAATATACTGTAACTTTTACAGTGATATTTATTGAATTAGAGTGATTCAGTGATTTTACAGTAAAAGTACCTATATTCTAAGTACCGTTACTTTTTACCGTAATTTGATCCGAAATGTTTTACAGTGTAGAACAGAGATGGCGGATCTTTTTCGATTAGTGTGCCAGTTATGTTACGATTTATTATTTTATATATATTTGACTTAAAAACGCAGAATTAGTAATTGTGCATTTATTTTTGCTGCTAAGTTATTAACTTGCTTTAAACCTGTATGGTTTCTTTACAATCGATTATATAGAATTCATGGATGAAAAACATCTGAGAAGCATACTATGATGCAAATTTTTTCATAATTTGTAATTTAGTTTAGATTCTCTTTGCAACTTGTACCACTCTCGTACTTGCCAAGAAAAAAACAGTCTCCCATGTGACACAGATTTCAGCAGTGGAATTTTGAAAAATGTCATAATGGCGTTCTAAATCGTTTTTGATTCTGAATCCGCCTTTGATAGCCTCTAGTATTGAAGTTCTTTCGTTTTGAAATTTTGTCTTCATTAAATAAAACTAATATAGTATGAACATCTCGCATGACACCAAAATACATGTCAAGTACCACCTAGTGGCAAGTATGCCATAGATTCGTCATTTCTGCCTCAGAATCTAAGCTACAAATACTATCCGTTGCATAACCACACATTATAAAAAAAAATGAAAGTATAGCAATATGATTCAGTAGTTATTCGAATTAAAAAGCACAGACAAGCAAAAAAAAGTGCTTACGCTAAAGTTATAAACCACAAGAATGGAAAGTTTTGCTGAAGTTATTACTTTTCTTAATACAATAACTAAAATACCGTGGCAATATAAAGAATGCTTAAAACAACAACAAAGCAAATCATTTTTATCGTCTGTTGCAAGGTTTTTTTATGAAAAAAAGGTTTAAAATATTTGAACTAGTAAAAAGAATAATCGAATATTTAAGAGTGTGGTATGAAACTGGGATGAAATTTTCCGTAGTTTTCAAGTATAAAAGAGAAGTTTTAATATACTATGAGATACAGACATATTATAGTTTAATATGCTTTACATGCAGGGCAAATAAACGAAGCAGAAATGATTATGCAGAGTTACAACAAAAATGTCCATAAATAATGTATTCCGAATGGTAATTTTTGTGTTCTTTTTTATTAACTTCTTCATAGTTACTACTATTATTATCATTTTAATAATATTAGTTATCATCACTTGCAGACATCCAATTAAATATGTTAATTTATTCATGATTTTGAACTAGAAATCTGTTAGTACAATTTTATTTAAAGGAAAATGTACTTACTTATTACGAAGTCATATGCTTCTCTAACGTTTGATTTCGTGTTTGGAGAATGTTTTTGTCTTTTGAGTGAAGGAATCAACTTAGGAATAGCAGCAAGGTCTGACAGAAAAGACGAAAATTTTTTCTGAATGTCATTTACTTGAGATTCAATAGCTGTGGGAGAATAAAAAAGGAGAATGATTTTATGGAAACACTCAGTTTTAATACTGATCCATGATAGAAAATCCCAAATATGTTTTTTTTATTATGTGCCGTAGCTTAATCATGATCCTCAATTTTATACAATGAAATCTCTCAAGCGCGACCATTCTCTGTTCCACAGTACAATGGTAGTTAATTGAGGTTGGTCGCTCTTAAGGGTTACCTTCATCGTCTGCAAAATGTTATAGAAGGTACATGATTTTTCGTAAACGATTTCAGTTTTTGTCAGAGGAATTTTCTTGGTGCGGAAATATGTGACGTGTTGTGACTTGTGTTGACGTCATGAAAACCGGATCGATGAATAAAATTTAGCTTCAATAAAAATAATCGAAACTGATATAATTATGTCTAAAAACAAATTTACCAATTTTGAATGATAGAACTATATTAAATAAATGTTTTTGCTTATGTCTCCATTTAATTTTGTCTGAAAAATTAGTTAGCTTTAAAAGATCAGAAGAGGTTTGTTTGTTTTTAATTTAATTTCCAACTTTAAAAATAAATAATTGATACATCCTGTCAGGATCCGAATTCCTCTCCCACGCATTTGATTGACCCCTGACCTGAGGGTCAGAGGGTGAAGGACACTGGAAGCGTCGTCCCCTACATTGGGGGTGGAGCAAAGGACTGTTTCTGATGAGAAAGAGGATTTTTAGGAGGAGATTAGCTTTGAACGCCGAAGAGTAGAGTTGTAATTGAACAAAAAGATGATAGATTTAGTATGAAGGGAGCAGTTGCGCTGCAAAAACATTATACTCAACAGCTCATGTATCTATTTGTAACCTTTCTGTAAATAATTCTATAATCAAGAATTTAGTAATAAATAAGCTATAATTGAAATAATCCTTGGTCATCCTTATTGAGGAGTCTTTAAAAACGAACCAAGAGACAAAATGTCTCACAAATTTCGCAGCCTGACAGGATGGAAGGAGGACTACTATGCTAAGGAAAAGAATCATCGCCGATGCCCACTATGAGAAATGCCCAGTAAAGAGTGTTGCCTCATGGAGTCAATCTTGATAGAAGGATGCCTACGGAAATGCCTAGTGAAAAAGATTGCCTGAAGGAAAGGGTGACGGTGGACTGACAACATCGACGGGACTATTATCGCCGGAGGCGATAGGCAGCCAGCGCTACCCCCCGTGACCGGTGACCATAGAGTGTGGTTTCAACATCGACTCTCTGACAAAGAGGACAATTGAAAAGATAATAAAGGGAGGTAAGCTTTATCTCATGCATGAAAGGATAAATTACACGCTCACATTTCTGGGTAGAAGTTTAACAAAAAGGGTAGTTAGTTNTACAGAAGGATTAACGAGTCTTATACTCAATTCGGGGTTAAAATTAAGGACTCCTTAGAGATCTATATGGAGTCGAGGGGGGTCACGACATTAGAACAATTGAAGGAATTGGTAGTGGCAGATAGGATAAAAGATAGTTTACCTCAGGAGCTGAAATCCCACATATATTTGAAGGAATCAGATGGATGGTTGGGAGTGTCAGATCTAGGGCAAGAGTTAGATAATGTAGTGGCGGCAAGACCCCATAACCTTGACGTAGGATTCCAAAATAGGGGAGGGAAAATTGGTGAAAAGCGGGCTCCGGAATACAGAGGTCACGAGACAAGTAGAAGGATTTTCCAAGCCGAAACAATAAGTAGGAATAAAAACAATTTAACGGAACAATTTAGGAAGGGGATCCCAGAAATACCAGCAAGAAATAGTGGGAACGGGGGAGGATGGACCCCAAAGTGTTTTAATTGTAACGAAGAAGGGCATTTAAAGAGGGCTTGTCCGAAAATATATCGGATGAGCATCTGTCGAGAAAATATGAATAGATTGGAAAGGAGAGGATTAAACCCAATGGCAGTGGAAGTGGCTGGATTAAATTTGGAGGATGCAAGGACGACGGTAGATCTACCAAGGGCAGATTTCGAAATTGACAATGTTTGTTTTTCAGGTGTTATAGATAGTGGGGCGGAAATCAGTGTGGTGAAGCAGTCCTTCATTCCTGAGAAATATTTACAATCAGGGGGGACGCTCTTTCTAAGACCAGCGGTGGGACCAGCAGTGAGAGCAAAGCTGGTAACTGTGCCTCTAAGGAGATGGGGGAGAGAAGAAGAGATAAAGTCATATGTCGAAATCCCAGTAGCGGTGGTAGAGGATTTGAATGAAACGGCTCTGATTACCCCAAAAGTATTTCGGTTGCTAAATGAGCAGTCCTTGAAGTACAGCGGAGGGGAGAGTCAAGAGGAGGGGGGTGATAGAAGTATGCTAGCTATGGGAAAAGAAACGGAAAAGGGAGAAGTCACTAAGTCCGGATCGAAGGGAGAAAACGAAGAAGCGCGGAAAACCCGGGGGGCGGTCAGCGAAGAAATAGAAATAGGGGGTCGGGAAGAGAATCCACCTTTATCGCACAGTCAGAAATTTAGGAGAGAGCAAGTGGGGTGCGCGTCGCTGGTGAAAGCATTTAGTGAAGGGAGAAGAGGAAAAAATAAGTATTGGACGGATGGGGGGATTTTATATCACACTGGGAATATTTTTGGTCAGCGAGTCAGCCAATTAGTGGTGCCATTGACCCGGAGGAAGGAGATTTTAAAGCTCGCACATGAGACTTTAACGGGGGGTCATTTTTCCGCTAAAAAGACTAGGGATCGAATCGCGATGTCATTTTTTTGGGAAGGAATGATGAAAGATATAAAAAGATTGTGCGAATCCTGCAAAGACTGTCAGCTGAGACGGAGGATTAAGAGAACGGATAGGGCTCCAATCGAAGCGGTAGGGAGACCGGAATTACCTTTTCAGGTAATCAATATAGACGTGTTGGGGCCGGTGGAACCAAAATCTTCCCGCGTACATCAGTACGTTTTGTGCTTGATGGACCAGCATAGTAGGTGGCCCGAGGCGGTCCCTTTAAAATCATTAACCGCTAAAGCGACTTGTGAGGCATTGGTGGATATTTTTATGCGAACTGGGACTCCGAAAATTATTGCGATGGACAATGCTACCAATTTTACGGCTAAGTTGTCGCAAGTTTTTTTTGAGCAGTTAGGTGTTTCCCCCCGATTTTCAACACCGGCATATCCACAGAGCAATGGATTGGTGGAAAGATTCGTGCAAACAATGAAAAATATGCTTCACCATGCAATAAAAGAACAGGGNCAGTCCTTCATTCCTGAGAAATATTTAAAATCAGGGGGGACGCTCTTTCTAAGACCAGCTGTGGGACCAGCCGTGAGAGCAAAACTTGTAACTGTGCCTATACGGAGATGGGGGAGAGAAGAAGAGATAAAGTCATATGTGGAAATCCCAGTAGCGGTGGTGGAGAATTTGAATGAAACGGCTCTGATTACCCCAAAAGTATTTCAGTTGCTAAATGAGCAGTCCTTGAGGTACAGCGGAGGGGAGAGTCAAGAGGAGGGGGGTGATAGAAGTATTCTAGCGATGGGAAAAGAAACGGAAAGGGGAGAAGTCAAGTCGGGATCGAAGGGAGAAAACGAAGTAGCGGGGGGTACCCCGGTGGCGGTCAGCGAAGAAATAGAAATAGGGGGTAGGGAGGAGAATCCACCCTTATCTCACAGTCAGAAATTTAGGAGAGAGCAGGTGGGGTGCGCGTCACTGGTAAAAGCATTTAGTGAAGGGAGAGGAGGAAAAAATAAGTATTGGACGGAAGGGGGGATTTTATATCACACTGGGAATATTTTTGGTCAGCGAGTCAGCCAATTAGTGGTGCCATTGACCCGGAGGAAGGAGATTTTGAAGCTCGCACATGAGACTTTAACGGGGGGTCATTTTTCCGCTAAAAAGACTAGGGATCGAATCGCAATGTCATTTTTTGGGGAAGGAATGATGAAAGATATAAAAAGATTTTGCGAATCCTGCAAAGACTGTCAGTTGAGACGGAGAGTTAAGATAGCGGATAGGGCTCCAATCGAACCGGTAGGAAGACCGGAATTACCTTTTCAGGTAATCAATATAGATGTGTTGGGGCCGGTGGAACCAAAATCTTCCCGCGGACATCAGTACGTTTTGTGCTTGATGGACCAGCATAGTAGGTGGCCCTAGGCGGTCCCTTTAAAATCGTTAACCGCTAAAGCGACATGTGAGGCATTGGTGGATATTTTTATGCGAACCGGGACTCCGAAAGTTATTGCCATGGATAATGCTACCAATTTTACGGCTAAGTTGTCGCAAGGATTTTTTGAGCAACTAGGTGTTTCTCCCCGATTTTCAACACCGGCATATCCACAGAGCAACGGATTGGTGGAAAGATTTGTGCAAACGATGAAAAATATGCTTCACCATGCAATAAAAGAACAGGGAAGAAATTGGGATAAGCTGTTACCTTATTTATTGTGGGCGTATAGAGAAATACCCAACTCAACGACGGGGGTACCACCTTTTGTGCTAATGTACGGCAGATTACCTGTCGGACCTTTACAAATTTTAAAGTCTAGTTGGGAGGATGATACCGTATTACCTTTCGGGGTAGGAGAATCGGTAGGAGAATATTTAAAATCGTTGCAAGAAAATTTGAAAATCGCGGAAAATTATGCAACTAAGCAAACGAACGAGCAACAATTAAAATATACGCACTATCACAATTTAAGATCTAAAGATAAGAAGTTTTCGGTAGGAGACGAGGTAGTAGTTTTAATTCCCGACAGTACAAACAAATTATGTTCCAGGTGGAAGGGTCCGGGGGAAATTGTAGAAAAGAAATCAGAACATTCATTTTTGGTGAAATTACCGGATGGGAGTATACGTCACTTGCACCAAAATAAATTACGGGAATACATACAGCCGGTTAATACGATAGGGATTATTTATGAGAGCGATGAGGAATTCGGAGAAGTACAACACGCCCCTGTTGATCCAATACACGAACGGGTGGGGATGGAGAACATTTCAAATGCAAGTAAATTAGGCCATCTCAACTGTAAGCAAACCAAG